ATATTTTTTTCTCGCGAAATTTTGACCACCACAGGTCGTACCGTTCATGTACAGAACTTGGGGAAGTGTATGTGGCGCATTTCGTCATTATACTGTCAGTCCATGTTTAAAATGCAATGGTACACGGCAAATGAAACTTCAGCCAAGTCGAAAAATCAATTTTCAGATATGCTCGGTTGATATTATGCTTAGTTTGCCGCTGTACGAATGCAGCTGCGCCCCCCTCCCCCTTCCCCCTACACTGGAGTGGGAAATTTGCTCCGCTTCGATGGACATCGGGTCAAGGGGTCGACATCTGCCGCCATGTCAGTTATCTACTGTTTAACGCCATGTTCGACACCGACTGATCTACAAGGCGATTACGCGAGGGAGAAAGCGCAGGTGGGTCATAAGGTAGGAGGGTCGGAGCTACCGGCCCTCGTGCCGCTGGCTCGCTGACAGCTAAGCGCCGACGATTGAAACAAAGTGGAGGCATGTCACCGTCTCACAACGGGTGCCCTGGCCGCCGTCCGTCGTCGAATCGACAACAACAACACTCGTCTACGCCCTAAATAGGCCTCATACGCGACGACGACGACGACGTCGAACTCTAAACATGTTTTCGTCGACGACAGCGTCTGCCTGCACCGGTGATTCAACCGTCAAAACCGACGGAACAGCAGTGTGACCGACCGAATTCCTCACCGTCTTCGTCTTCGTCTTCTCCTCGCTTCGTCTTCGTCGCCGTAGCGGTGGTTGGTCGTCGGTAGTCGGTCGTCGGTCGTCGTTTGAGCGAGAGTCCAAATCGAGGTGGCGGTAGTTTGAGGTTTGTGAGGATTTTCGTGCAACAGCCAGCCATGGCCAAGATGGAGATTCGCATCAAGTACTGCTTCTGCTGCGACCTGACTATCGCCACGATACTCATTGCCGTTTACTGTGTGGTAAGTGCCGTCCGTGCCGCGTCATCTCTTCTCGTTCACAGCATGTCATCCGCCTCGACTCCAGACACTGATCTGTGCGTTCCTTCCACGCCCGGACAGTTACTGTCGTTTTACGTGCATTTCAGTGTCGAATTGCTTATATGCGCCCGGAAGCCTGTCATCGTACGAATCGTATTGATGACCATAATAACGAGTAATCACAGGTCACGATCGCTGCAGTTGTCGACGCGTCCTCGTTCCTTCAACTCGCCTGTCCATTCAACGCCCAGAGAGCTGCGTATTCGACACCGAAAACGTCACCGCCGATTAGGTCAACACTCTTATCTCCAAAACGCCGTTCTTTCACGACCCAAAACTTTTCAAGAATGTTTAATTTCCATTAGACAATGGTGAAATTTCTGCTTCGTCCACGAACAACGCATACTTTCATTAATTTGGAGCACAGACCT